CCTTCCAGCCCTAATGTCTATGAAATCTATGAAACCTATATCATCAACACAAGGAGATGCTGGCTATGTTTACAGGCTTCCAGGGCTGCCTCAATTCAGCTGCTGAAGCACAAAGTATAGTGCTTAGACGTGGAGTATAGTACATAGTAGCTTCTATTATCATTCCATAGCATTGTGATGTAAAAGGCACAGCCACAAAGCCACTACATCCACCTCATACTTGACTTCCCCCCAAACGTCCCCAAAGGTTTAAGATAGCCAAGTATCAGCTAGCCTGAGATTAGTCTCCCTTGTGCACTAAACTTGAAGCAACCCTACTGTCAGGACTCACAAATGTGATCAGGTGCTATCTTTCCCTATGCGCAGAGCCCACTTTGGCTGAGCACAGTTTGGCCAAACTTGTGTAAGTAGGTCTACATTTGCAAATAGGTCAGAGTCTGTCCCTTCCCCCCTTTCCCACCCCACTGTGCCTGTTGTTGGCAAGCAGGTAAATATGCAGCAAGAAAGCTAAAAGCACAGGACCAGACTTGTTTGTTTGCATTTCTCCTCCTTGCAACTGGTCACAATGATTGTTATATTCATTCAATCACTTTAAATCACTGTTAATATAATACTTCTTTATATGATTATTGTTTATTGAAGCCACAAAATCATCTACCATGATATTCAGTGTCTGCATTCACCTCAAAAACACTGACAACCCTCTCATGGGGACACGTTGCTGGTAAGTGGAGCACCTAGTTTAACAGGCACTCAAGTAGCTTGCCCCAGGATTTTCAGTATCCTGTGCAGTATTAAGCAAGGGGGCAAGGCGGGTCTTCAGAAGATACTGGTATGTTACGAGAGGTATGGAGAAAATGAGTGAAGAATTTGACTATCTCGGAGGGTGAGTGATGTACCAATCAATGGCATGGTTTGGTAGCTACTACTATAGTGGATGGATCAGGATGCTTCTCTGAGGAGACAGAGATCTAGTTTTCCCGAATTAATCTTTTGTATGTCCTAATAGTCACTGATGCACTGCAATGTAACAATTCTAGTTTTCTTTTAATGTCATTAGGTCAAAGCTTTCCTTCGCACCTTCAATATTACACTCTGGGTACATCTACACATACAAATAAGCATGACTAAATTTAATACACATTAATATAATGCACATTAAGTGATTTTTTTTGGCAGGTGTTTACACATGTAATGACTTGGCACTAAGTTAGTGTCAAGTCCATGCAGCGCTGCTATGCACCCCTGTGGCCACCAAAGAGAGCTCCAGCCTCTGGCCACATGGCTGCCAGCACTTGGCAGCCATGCTGAAGCCAGAGCCAGCTGCCAGCAGTTGGCAGCCATCTTGGAAACTCTGATCCCTGGCCAGCCCCTTCCCTGCCCAGGAGCCATGTGCCCAGCACAGGGGCAGTATGTGGCAGATCCCTTCTTGCCTCCCCACACCATGGCAGCTCCAACCCCTGCCCCTGCCAGTGACACCCAGCGTCCCGCTGCTCCAAGCCTGGCCACTGCCAGCAACAACCAGTGCCCTGTGCTCCTGCTGGCCCCAGCAGGCCCCCCCTGGCCCAGACCCCAGAACAGCCACACATCCACCAGCAGAAGCCAGGGCACTGACTGTGAAAGGTCCTAAGCAACCCGCTCCTCCTTTACTCCCCACTCCAGTCTGCCTGCCTTGCCAAAC